AATTTAAGAAATAAGATTATTATTATTATTATTATTATTATTATTATTATTATTATAACAATTAGTTTGCCATATGTGTTTAAAACGACAGTTTTGTTTGCCTGCAAAGCTCAGAATTTCAAGATTTTACTTGAGAAAAATCAGGGACGGACTATTTGAATAGATTGTCATCGGTGAATTTGGCTTATTTATTCTCTCATTAGAATTTTGTTTATGAAAAAAAATTTATATATTTAATCTTATATATTTAATATTTTTATTTATAATTAAATCAAGAAATGTGAATCTTTTATAATTTATTTATTCTATAACAAACTTTTATTATTAATATTATCAATATATTAAAATACACTTATCTTAATTTAATTGGATAAAAGTATATTAAAAATATAATGCTAAGTTTAAGTCTTTCCTTTTATAAAATTCTCATGAGACTATTGTTGGTAAAAATGGTTCCACGCAGTAAAGGTCTAGATTCGTTTAGGCATGTAGTAGTAATATCCCCAAGTTTTCAAAGATATCGAACAATGGAATAAAAGAGAATTTTATAAAATTAGATTAAAATAAAATTTTAAGTTTTTTTTTGTTGGAGTTATTTTTCAAGTTAATAACTAAACAATTATATTTTTTTGTGTATATTTTTCAAATCAAAACTGAAAATTATATTGCTCAAAAAGTCCAAATGAAGAAGTACTCTTTATTACGCCTCTTGAGTCAAAAAACAAATAAAAATGACAAGGGTTTAATTCTGTTAAAATTAGCTGATTAATTGAAAAGAAATAAGTCTATTACAAATTCATAATACACCAAAAATAGATTGGTGCAACTTGAAATCTAAAAATATTTTTAGATTCAATTTTTATTTCACAATCAAGTGATGTAAAAGAATCTGTAGCAACTCATTAAAATGGACATATCAATAAACCTTATCTCTTGCATTATTCATTCTCAAAAGTCCTCTTTAGCTCCTTACGTTACTTTGGCTTTTGGGAATTTTTTTTTTAAAGAATGCAACTCATATTTTATAAAGGGGCAGGTTCAAATCTTACTGATAACTTAAGAAACTCATTAATAAATAATATATAAATACTTTTATAAATTTTTTTTTAAATTATAAACCCCATCTAGAGCCTTGTGAATTTTTGAAAAGTGCTAAAAATTGAAATGATCATTGAACTAGTCAAACATTAATTCAAAAATTAATAATTAAAAATATAATCAAATCTTAGTCAAATCAATCAATAACAAAACGCTTTATTAAACTAGTTAAAGTATTGGTTGAACAATTTAATAGTTTAGCTGGCCAACGTTGATATGGATTTCAATACTATAATTATTGAAACTCAACTCACATAGCATATTTTTGAAAGAATTTCATCTAAGAATCACATTAGTTATTTATTTATAAATCAAACCCAAATTTTTTTTTGAAATTACACTACAGGATTGGGGGGCCTAATTGAAATAAACTTTCAATGCAGAATAATCAAATTGCCTTAACGTTTAAAAACGAATAAGGTTATACACTTAACAAATAACGCAAGGAGATTAACAAGAAATGTTAGTGATTTTATAAGTAAAATTAATAATTTAACAAATCATAATAAATAGATTTCATACATGTTGGATAATATATAATTAATGTCATATATTTAATAAGTAACACAAGGGAATTAACATGTAATATTAGATATTTAACATGTAAAGTTAATTATTCTTCTAAATCATTTAAGAAAGATATTAATAATTTTGCTATAGCATTTCATTTCACTTCAATTCCAAAAATCATGTCGTGTAATTTCAGAGTTTTTGGGTCTGAATCGTAAATAAATAACTACTATAATCTTTAGATGAAATTCCCCTTAAATTTGGGGTAGAGAAAGAGAGTTGTTGGAATACAAATTGAAGCATGTGAGCTTCCAAGTGACAATTATTTTTGAGAAGTGAACCGAACGTTTAAAAAAGTTGGTTTGTCAATTATAAGGGAGAAACACACAACATTATTGTTACCATCACACTTCATCTTTTTGCCCCCTTCTCTCCTTTATCTCTTATTCATTCTATCACGTCTTTAAATCATAATAATAATTTAATAATATATCGTGTATTATTTTCTTCAAAAAAATATTATTTAATATCTCAAGGCTCACCTTAGTTTCCGTGCTAAACATAAATTGATGATAGTCTAGTTCAATCTAAATGGTCTATAAACAAAATGCAAAATGAAAAAAAGAAACAAATTAAAAAAGAGAAGCTCTTTTTTTTTTTTTTTTGGTTTCAATTCATTCTCCTCACAATGATTCTTGGATTGAATTTCTTTGGTTGGAACAAATCTTGGGATCAAATCAAAAAGTGAATCATCTTTTTTTTAAAAAAATTCAATATAAGAATTATACTTACACGTATATACTTTGTCAAGTATTGCCTTAATTTCATTTATATTTCATTTTAAAAGTTCGAAGTAGTATTTTTTTTTTACCAACAAATCAAAGTTCAAAGTAGTATTTATTAAACTTTAGGATCAATTTGACAATATAATCAATATTTCTATGTACTAATTACATTTCTTAATTTATGCGTAGATATCTTAAAAAGATTTATATTTTAATTTTTTTTTTTGCCAGGAAATAAAGGGAGTATTCAAAACTATCATAACTACTGTATTTATAGGTTAAGATTAAAGCCATCTTTTTTTGCCAAACAGTCTCATCTGTCATTATTCCATAACAAATAGTGCAGGGTATTCCCACAATTGAAAATGCAAAACATTTTTTTAAGGTTGGATATTAAAAAATATAAAATATTTTTAATATTTTAAAGTGTAATTAATATATTTTTTAAAAAAATATTCTTAATAAATAAATTACTTTATATTTATTTTAAAATAAAACACTCTATTAAATTAGAGTAAATATTAAAAGATTGTATTAGTTTAAAAAAATTAATTAATTTACTCGGGTGAGATTTGATTGAAAATAATTTATATTTTTTTAACAAATGGAGTATACATAAAGCAATCTCATTAAATTGGCTAATCTCTTTATAAATAATACTAGCTGTTGATTTGGGTAATTGGAAAAATTTCAATGAGGATTCCTTGACCAAAAATTAATGTCAATTAAAAATCCTAAAAATTTGAAATTTCACTACCCATATGGGGAGCTGAAATGAAATTAAAGAGTTAGTTGAAATGATATTATTATCCCTAACGAAGCTAAATGCATGAACAATTCATTTGGAGAAATTAGCAGTTGATGTATAAAAAATGAACAATTGACATAGGTGAAATTTGCAATTCTCATTACCAGTATAACACCACTATAAATTTGTAACTCTTATTTCACTTATATTAACTATTCATTTTTTTCTAGATGAATTATTCATGTGCCTAGTTTCACTTGTTTATATTTATAGTGGTGTTATACTGTTAATGAGAGTTATAAATTCCACATACATCAATTGTTTATTTTCTATACATCAATTGTTAATTTCCTTACATCAATTGTTAATTTTCTCAATTAAATCTATTTCTCTTGAGCTTTATGTTAATTTTATGATTAGCTTCCATTAAATCAAATTTGTGGATGATCTTAATGAATTAGGACGTAAAAAGATAATATAGATATAGAGAAATAGATGTGAATCATTAAGTTAAAGATAATTCTAAAAATTTATGGTGATTTAAAGCTATTAATTCATGGTTTAATAAGTTAGGCATTATAGAAACAAACCAACACAAAATCAAAAAAGGGACTAATAATTTAAGAGAATATTAAGACACTTCATAAATAATTGTTATTGTAATTACTTGGTTGTAACATTTTTGAGATATGTTGTCTCTGCTCCTCTAAGAAGGAATCCCTTGAACACGTGTTTCTATCATGTCATTGGATAAAGGTTACTTGGTTTGCTAGTTCCTTGTCCTTGGTTGTTACTGATTTAAATGTCTCTTCTACGAATCAATGGATTTCTTCATGGCTTTTGAACCACAGCACGAACCTTTGGCAAAAAGCACTTATAGCTGTACCCTCTGACAGATTTGGAAAGCTAGATGTTCTTTTTTGTATGAAAAGGTGAAGGTGGATCCACGCTTGGTCAATAAGCGTGCTGGGAACATGCTTTTTTGAGTTTTGTGATGTGAATGGCTGTATTAACAATTCTGCCTTAGTTGATGAACAATCTGAAAATGTTTCAAGTCCTAAATGGGTTGCTCTTGTTGACAACACTTTAAAAATTTATACTGACTATGCTTTTAGTGAGAAATTAAACTAGGCTGCTACTGTGTTTGTTATCAGGGATCATAATGGGTGGATTTTGGGTAGTTTGAATGACCTGTGTGATGCTTCTCCTGCTCGAGGCAGAATTTTTAGCTTTGGAGCGGGCAGTTATATTTGCAGTTCAAAATAAGCTTGAAAATGTTTGTTTTGAATCTGACTCAAAAGTTATGATCAACTAATTAAACTCTATGTCGGCCCTTATTGATTGGAAGTATCTCTTTTCTTTTGAGAACATTCTTTTTATGAAGAAATTAATACAGAATTACTTGTTCTTGTGGGTTATCAGGGAAGCAAATGGGATGGCTTGGACTGCTAAAGCTTCTTTAAGGAATTATGTCCTTCGAATCAGGTTGTTCGGCCCCCTCAATTCCTTTTCCTAAACTTTTGGAGATTGATTGATCTTTTTTCAGATATTCTGGTTAATTTTCGTTTATTTTTAGTGTTAAGAGTTTTGGGTTAGTTGTTGAACTCTTTCATTTATTAATAGAATCTCCCTCTGTTGCCCAAAAAGAAATGAAAGAAAGAAAGAAAGGATAGAAAGTTAGAAACTAACAATTTATAGGATTTATGCTAAACTCCAACATTTAATGTGATTGTGTCTTTCTCAATTAACTTGAGATGGGTGCTTCTATTTATATTTTTGGCTTATTTTTATTCAAGAATCCCTCCTTTTTCCCTGAGCTATTAATTGTTGAATTATTAAAAACATAACTTCCCCTCGGGTTTATTCCAGACTACTATGCGAATTTTTACTATTGCCATCTCATACACTTTCAAACTTGGATCAAGTTTTTGGAAGGCACTGCCATAATCAACCAATATGGCAAAATGATATGTCCTAAGCTGAGTTTTGACTTTTGATACCTACTATCAGAACTCCAAGCAAATAATATATTACATTATTGACAACAGAAACAAAAAAGTTGGGGAATGATTTTTTTTCTTTTTTTTGTACAAAAAGGCACACAAGCGAGCACCACAAACAGCAAAGGAAGTCTTGCTTCTCTATTGCTTATATTTTTCTTGGCCAAAATGTATCTCTTGTCATTTTAGACTGTACATATTTCTCAGACTTTCTAACACCTACCAATGACCAGCTGGTTAGTCCAGCGAGGAACTGGATTCAGCGGTTTCATCTTCACTAAAGCTAGAAAGTATCTCTGTTGCAGACCTACATATCACACACAAAGCAGTTAGAAATGGAAAGAGCATGCTAGGATTAGATTAAAAGTGTTTCAAAGGAAAAAGTAAATTTTCACATTTCACCTATTAAGCTCCTACCACCCGCCAAAAAAAGAAAGGGAAAAAAAACTCTTATCTCACTAGGTGAAATCGACTACATAAATTGCACGACATCATTATGCATTATCATCAATGAAATCTTTGGAAATATTGTTAACAAAGAGATCTCGCCATTACAAATATGCATTACATTTGTTTTCACCATTATGAATGATATAAACGCCCAAAAGTTCACTATGAACCAGCTATATCTATAAAATCACTCAATTTTACTTCTCATAGCAGATATGCATCAGAAAAAACCCTTGCATGATCTTTCAAAAAGCATTGAAAGTTTGACCATCATAGCTACCAAACAATCTTGATAAACAAACTGGAACATGGGAAACAGAAAATGCACACATACGGTCATACACTTGCATATCACAAACAGAAATTTGAGAGGACTGGGGATGGCATGTAATCATGGAAACTACAAAAGCAAACAGAACTGAATGCCCACCTCCGATTTTTCTGAGGTTGCATCTCAGCTACTAGTGCATGTTTCAGATTCTGTTGTTGAGGAAGATCATCTTTAACTCTTTTTGCAATCTATGGTGTTAATATAAAATAAATAAAATGAGGGAACCTAGAAAAGCAAACATTTTTTATAACACATTCTTGGAAGGAGGGGAATGAGGTTAACGCAAAGCAAAATACTGCGTTCTGCATTCACAAGTTCTTGCAATTCAAACGCACCGTGGTTTCATTTGGAAGCATCCTCATTCTCTCTGAATCATGATATTGTTTTCTCGCTTTCTTGTCTCCAATAAACTTCTCTTCCTGAAAATATTCAAGAAAAAAAAAAAGGCATTTTAAGACATCTGTTAAAAAAATAAAGTGATAATCACTTACAAAAAGCAAAGATAAGTCACAGCTATCTTAATGGACCTTTGCTATCTTTGAAGATAGTCCTCTTTCTTCAGTATCAAGAGAAACGCGAGAATTTCTTAATGAATTTGAAGGCTTAGATTTTACATATTCACTTCTCTGAATTTTCTTTGGATTGACATTATCATAGCGATGCAGAAGTGAATCTGCCTGCTTAACCACAAGGTCCCCTTCAAAGTGATCACTATGGTTAGAAGCAGAATCAGATCTCATCCCTACACCATGTTTAGACCTCATTGTATTATAAGCAGGTACTTCTCTAGTAGAATCTTCATACAACTCCAGGGAGGAGTTCCTATGAGGTATATGATTGGTATGACCCTGAAATGTCCGCCCTTGCTTGTGTCGACGGGGTTTCTTATCCAGCAAATCAGCGTCATGCAAGGAGCCAAGATCTCCTACTTCCATATGTAAATCTTGGGAACTATATTTGGAGTCATACATCTGTAAAAACACAGGGAAAAAAGGAGACATAGGATATACTATCATCAACTTATGTCTATAAGCTCGAAGAAAAGAGCAGTTTCTCATATGCTGGATAAGATAATGTTTGCCTCTATCGAATAGCCATTCCTTTCCAGCGTTGATTTTTATCCTAGGGAATGATTATTTCTTTATTTACAAACTACTATGACTGAATACCCATTTTAAGGGAAAACTCAATAGGAATCCTCATGCTATTCCAATACTTCTTGGACAATATCACTCTCAGATTAATCAAGTATTAAAAAAAAACATTTAATTAAGTAACTATTATTTATTTTGATATTATTTTGTATCACAGACTCAGCAATTTTCAGAAATATACTGGTTAGTTTAGTTTCAAATTCGAGTATAGCATCATCATGAGGTTACTGTCTTCATACCACTATTATCTAATTATAGCACGCCAAAGGCATATATTGCCACAATCCTGGCCACAGCAAATGAGGCAATGAAATGATACTTTCATTATAGCACATCTCCATTCCCAAAAAACAATTCCATGTTATAAAATTTGACACAGAAAAGGTGAAATTTAGACTGCATTAATTTTCCATGCAAGACATAATTCTCAAATAAATATGAAGAGCAATATACTCAAATCTTTCCAAACCCCTCCTTCCTCGGGTCTCTTTTTTTCATCAATGGTATGAGAATTCTAGGCCAAGGAAAGGAATTTCTAGTACTATCTCAAGATTAAGAATCAACACCACCCTCCCTCTCGCCCCCTTTCTGTTTCTTACCCCTCTATTCCAGCTAACAATTCTATTAATCTCTAAGGACCGGTTTGGTTACGGGAGAAGATGAGCATGGAATGGAATGAAAAAAATAAAAAACAAAAATGAATTAAATCACCCTCCCACTTATGGCAAGCATGATAAAACCTTATACCACATAACATAAAAATGGCAATTAACATATCCTCCACAAACCTCATGAATCATGATTCAATTTCATGAACTAAATTAGCCTTCCCATCTAAGAACATGGTTAACTTATCTCTTACCCAAATCTCGATTAGTCTATTTTTACCTTTATTTTTTTAATTCATTTTATTTCATTCCTTTTTAGTAAGTAAATTGGTCTCCTATCTACTAATAAATTATCTTTTCTAACAATTTTCCACCAATTTGTTAAGAAGCAATTACAAAAGGAAAGAAATCAAAATAAAAAGCGGCTATCAAATAAAAAGAGATGCTTGAGAAATGCTTTGGTCTGACAAGAAGGTAATTACAGTATAATTTGAAGGTTAGGAACCCAATTATTTTTTATTGAATTATATAAAAGCGTCGCCTGGATTTCTAAAATCTAAATTTTGCATGATTTTACTTAACTTTACATTCTCACTATAAGTTTATATTATCCAAAAAAAAAAAAAAAATCTAGCTCAGTTTTTGGAACACCTGTCACCTACAACCAACACTTGATATAACTGACTGAAAACATTCTACCCACCATGTTTTTACAAGGCTTATCAAAACACAAGAATGCATTAAAAGATTGCACTTACAGAGTTAAGGGCAGGTTGCCTTTTCCCAGCAGGAATTTCTGTAGGACTGGCAAGAGAAGGATTCGCAGTATGGAATGATTCTGCCAATGTAAACCAGAAAAAATTTGTAGTAGTAAGACATACAGTAATCTGAAAAAAAAATTATTTGATGCAGCAAGAAGTAAGATCTAGAGATAAGTGAATCAGCGAAAAGAAGGTCAATCCTCGACCTTCAGCTCTGAAGAAACCTTCACCGTTAAAACATGCAAAAAGCAACATAAACTCCATTGACCCAAACAAGCAAATGGCGATGAGCAATTGATCATACAAATGCGATGTGCTATCATCCCTTAAAAGTATAAAAAACAGCCTCCGCAACCAGGAATGAGGTGCCCATATATGAATAACTATAGAAACAAACTCTTCCAATATTAGATGTAAAATAAAATAGGTATTTTGGCATATTCTACTCAAGAATATGCTAGTGCATCAGCTAAAAGGAAGGTACATTAAGTGAATATGCAGAGATTAGGGTTTCTAAAAAACAGTCTTTAGTTTCTTATTCTTCACCCTCAGCCCAATCTTGTTGAATTTTCAAATTCACTCAAGCCATTTATAGTTTAAACTGCTCATGACAGAAATAATGAAATACATAATTCTTTCACCATGTAATATATGCAACAATATTTCTCACCTAAATAAGCAATTGTATTAGTTAATTTAATGATAAATGGCATTCAAGTCTTAGAAAACAGATTTCACATGTATACAGTACAACCTACCATCAACTGGATCTGCAATTTGGCACTCAAATGCCCCTGGAGGAACTGGATCAAATTCTACACTAAGCAGTGGACCATCTTCCTGATAGTGTCTTCCTAATCGCTTCTTGACAGCAGTTATAGCAGCATTTTCTATCTCACCCTTCACTTTCAAATATCCTGATGGTTTATATCCAATGTTAATTGCAGCTTTGGGAACTAAAGGTGGCAGAGCTCTGTTAGGTGTCAGATGTCTAGAAGGCTCCATGTTATATGGATCCTGCCCTTGAGAGAACATCTGATCTCTTAAAGACGAGCTACTCTCAGAAGATGTGTTATCAGTTCCACCAACATCTTCATTATAGTGTCTATTACGTCCATAAGTCATATCTGCAACAGAAAAGTCATTGCTGTAGAGGCCATGACTCTCAACCTCTTTCAGATCAAGATGCTTATAATCACCATGTTTAGTGCTTCCACATGAATCTTGCCCTAGTCCACTTACATGGTCCTGGATGACACCACTTGAACGATCTTGCCGTCCATTAGCACATGCTTCATCCTTCAACAATCTTTTATCTTTTAACCGTCTGTGGCAAAACCATCCAGATACTTGCTTTTCAGTCAAGCCTAACTCCTCAGCAAGTTCTGATTTCATTTCTTCTGTGGGATATTTGTGCTCTGGAAAGAAAAATCAGATGTTATTCCTAAAGAGTTAGCACTTAGCAAGAAGGTTTTAAACACATGTGACAAGAAAAGTACTCCTACCATCATAAAATTTTTCCAGGGCCATCACCTGGGCAGGTGTTTTAAGCCTTCTTTTCTTATTTTTCTCCATAGAAACTTTATTCTCTTCTGATTGCAATTCACCTGATTCTAAAATTTCCAGAAAAGTAAAACAGTTTAGCATGCATATTACAAATTTACAATTACAAATGCAGGGGTAATGGAACGTTTCCATGCTTCTATAAATGCAATGGAATCACATATATGTCTACATATCCAAATCCTTAACAATAAGAACATAAAACGGGAGGCACATCAATCATACAGCATTTAATGATCCTCCTATCTTAAAATTTATCATAGAGTGGAACAATAAGTTGTAAATGTATTAAAAATGAGATGCCTTCGATTTACAGTTCAACTTCTTGTGCATCTTTGACCAGAATCAAACCACTAAAATCCTTGTAATACTCTTTCCATTAAATCAATCAAGAGACATATTTATATAATATCTCTATTACAAATTTACAATGCAAAACATACTATTCTTACACTGTTAACATGGGCGCACAATAAGTCAATGCTTACCATTCACCACTTTACTTTCGATTTCAATGGCATCCTTGGCAAATATTACACTTATCAGTGGAGACATCAGACAACTTATATAATCCCTGGAAAACTTATGTAATTTCAAATAAGTTGTTGCTATCTTCAAATCTTGACAAAAACTGAATACTTAATTTGGTATAACATTAACACGAAAATGATTTTGCACAACAAAAGGTTCAAAAAAGAGTATGCAGTTAAGGAGCAGCATTTATAATGATCATCCACTAAAATAATTTCAAGACATTATGAAGTTCTTACATGAGATCATTTATGCAGCACAGGGATCAACACAAGTATAATGGGTACAGACAATTATGGAAAATTCTATTAAATAAATAATAAATGTAATGAATATAAAGCTTTTGGTAAATGATAGAATACAATAACGTCATACAATTCGAGTAGCCGACGCCACCTAGTGGAATAAGACTTGTTGTTGTTGGTGTTGAATGAATATAGAGCTTCATTCATCTTGTGAACAATCAAATAGAGGTAGATAACTTTTTGTTATTAAATCCCATAATATAGAGGAACATAGTAACCCCACTCCACAACTCATGCCTACTTAAAGCCTCAAATACAGATTATTTAAATAATAGCAATACAATGTTTGGACCAGAAATGGTAGTGCCCTTTCGAAAGAAAGAAAGAAAGAAAGAAATTGACGTATTGATGGAACCCATTAAATGGTTCAATAATTCGGTCAATAGTCAAACCAACTGACTATTTTTTAAATTGAAATAACCTATACATAACAAACACAATATATTTAAAAACAATCACCAATAAAGTAAAGCAAAAACAGAATTACATTGATGCGTGCGCACATTGTTAAAATAAAAAATACTTCTTCTTTTTGGCCAGAGAACAGCCAGCTTAATTTTAGCAATTACCAGTTAACCTGTTCTCTCTTGGTTGAAATTGCATATTCTTATACAATATTTCAATTAAACTCTTGGGACTAACCAACCAACCCTTCATAGATGGAAGAAAACCAACAAAAGTTATATTCTGCAGGCACAGACATAGAACATCATTCAATTTTACTATGGCAGCTGATTTCACAAGAATTACCGGTAGTTCTCTCCTTTCTCTCTCTGTTTTTGAGGCAAAAGCAAATGACTCGCCTTAGAAAGTAGATCTAAGTGTAGGCAACAATTTATGATAATCGACAAGGAAAATAGAAACTAAGGCAAATTGGCGTAAAAGAGAAGATTAAATGTTCGACAACAAAACGTATGAAGACACTGAATATTAAACTTTCTACACTTAGGGTTGCAAGATTCACGACAAAAATTCAAACCCCAATATTTCTCCAGGTTAATTCACTTTCCCGAAATGAAACACCAAAATTGAAGTCCTCGGTGGTATATTTCACCTTCAAATCACCTTCTATAAGAATGCAAGCAATTCATATTAGCGAATCCACTCAGGCCATTCAGTGCATGGCAATTCAAGCAATCAGACAAAATCAAACAAGATCTAAAGAACCCAAATATCAAATACGACCAAAGCACGGTGAGAGAAATAATACCTTCCATGACTGTCATAAATTATAGTGAATCTCCTCTTTTCTGCAAGTTATCGAGCAAAAATAAAGAGATTTGTTCACTTGCTTCTCAGAAAAGTGAGAACCATTACACCAAACGCAGAACAGGGATGGTACGAAATGTCAATACAATTCAATTCACGTCAAATACAATCCCCAATTCATCATAGGAAGAGACGAAGGAACTTCTGATGAAAGTGGAGACACAAGGAAGAAGAATTCGCCCCCGTTCTCATTTGCTTGTTTTGAACAACTTTTACAGTTCGTGTTTTGTTCATTTAATTGATTGATATTGAATTCAATAACGTATCAAATCTGATCTCTATTTTTTTTATCGTGTTTACCAGTTTTGCACTCCATTTTTAAATCCCCAGCATGAAGGAAAAATATTTACGTTTATTAATAGATCAAGGAATGAAAATATTGATATTTAATAATTTAATTTTAATTGTAAATTTGAGCAATATCCCACAAGAATCGTGCAGCTTTTAATGTGAAAATTTTGTTTCGGACAATAAAAGAACATAGCAATATTCCTATTGGTCGTTTGGTTTGATGTTTTGATTAGCGTGGCCCGGCCCTGGGGCAAGGAAACTCATACAAAATAAATAAAACGATGCACTATTTGTCCTTGTTGTAAAATTGTCTAAATTTTGTTCTAATTACTTTTTAATTTAGGAGATCATATTAAAGGATAAAAGAATGAATTACACTTAAATAAAAATTAAATGATGGAAAAATGACAAAAAAATTCCTCCAACATTTTAGTCATGCTCAAATATTTATAAATAATTATTTAAATATGACTAATAATGCATCCATGCTCAACCAAAACCCATAAAAATGTTTACAAAATAAATTTATAGTATATATATATTCCCTTCGTTCAAAAATATAGGAAATTTTTAATTAAATTTTACTTCCTAATAAAATAATTATTTATTTTCAAACAACCATATCTTTTCATATTTACTCTCATTAAACACCCTATAATAAATATAAAGTCACTATCAATAGGGGCACTTTTGAAAAAATGTTATGATTACACCTTAAAAGATTAAAAATGCCTTACATTTTTTAACATTCAACTCCTCAAAAAATTTCTTACATTTTTGAACGAAGAGAGTATATTATTTAGCATAATATTAATAACCTATAAGGAATAGGTTATTAAAAAAAATTTGAAAAAGTTGGGTTAAAAAAATTGACAGCTTTTTATGCATGAACAAATTACATTCAAATATTTACAAGTGATTGTTCGGATATGGACAACACATCCATGATTGACAGTAAACACATAAATGATTGAAAACAAGTTATAATATGTGTGTGTGCATTATATTTTGCTATATATAACTAAAGATGTTTAGTGGTTCAGTGGCACTATTTTTTTTGAACATCCAAGGGGTCAAAGGATCAAATCCTTCCTTAGCCCTTTTTTTGAATTGACCAATTGTTGACCATTCACCAACAATAGAGGTTCGGCCTCCAGCACAACAATGGTTTGTTGTAGGCAGTAATAGCTCCAACACCAATGATGATGAGGATTTTATTTTTTTTAATATAAACCAAGGGTATTTTAGTAATTAGACTATAAAATTTAATTATAATTAAAGCCCTTAGACATGTATTAAAGCTTCATAATCTATTGGGCTTTGCATGTGATTAATTTCATTTTGAGAGCCCTAATTGAAAAGTTTTCTAATTAATTAATTCATCTTTATATTTTTATTTAGTCTTCAACTCAATTCTTATACTTTTAAACTCACAACTCTAGCTCTTTGGTTTATAAAATCTTAGATTAAGACGTTGTTCTCACTCTTGTGATTATATTTTATAGGTGAAAGTTTTAATAGGAGCAAAGGGAAAAAGGAAGCTATAGAGGATTAGGATAGTTATCAATTGCATAGTTTTTTCTTTTGTTTGTAATTGACAAGTATATATGATTGATTTACATTGCCAACTTGAGACATGCAATCTTTTGATTACATTTGCATGTAGTTGTATTGTCTTTCTAATGTATTTTAGTCCAAATTGATGTAAATGTATGAAAATTTATATAAAAGACTGAAATACTCATGCAAATGTGCATATGGTGGTAATTGTCACAAAAAAAAAACAAACTAAAAGTCACCACTAAAAGTCTTTGACAACAGTCATCACTATAACAATCATCGCGAGTAGTTTTTTGCGGTGATAATAAAAGTATACTTTTAGCGGCAACAAAAGTTTTTTTGCCACTAAAAGTCTATTTTTAACCTTTTAAAAAAATAATAATTTATTTTATGTTGCTGTCAAAAATTTCTTTTACACTTTTTCCAAAAAAATTTTAAAAATAATATTTTATTTTATACCATGTCACTTTACTACGCGTGCATCACCTCGCCACCTCGTGCCACATTACCTGCCACATGTGTGCCTCCTCAAACCACCTCATGTGCTATGCCACCACCATACATCACATCTTATATTTGTTGAAAATATGCCAAAATTAAGGTTTGAACTCTTGACCTCCCATCTCTAATCTCCAAGCCTTAAATATCCCTTCTTTATCGGTTGAGCTAAAACGTGTCTCCAGTTATTATATATAAAATTAATTATATATTATTTAATTACATATGCATATATCAAATCATATATTATTAAAAAGATATGCATATATTTTATTTTATTTTCAATTATTAATATGACAAAATAATTTATATGAATATTTAATTATATTTTTTATAAAATATTATTTTTTACCAGTAAATATTATTTTTGTTAGGAAAATAAATTTAAAATAAAAAATTCTAAATATTAAATAATATTCTTATATATATTGTAACCAATTTTTAAATTTTAGTTTTAAAATGAAAATTATTAAGTATATAGTTTGTTTATAAATATGTATTATATTAGCTTATGTTAAATATCTTTGACCTTTTTCTTCTGTATATTTTTATCAAAATTAATGAATTAAACAATTAAAAATTTATCTTCTCTCAAAATGATTAAATGTTTCCCTCTCTTTTATTAAAAATATATTTTCTCTATAATTTTTCAATATCTTAAAAAAGTATTTTAATATCAAATTAATTTCAACCACATAAATTTTGTTCGGAAAAACATACAATTTGGTCTTTGTACTTTGTTCGTATTTCGTTGTAGGTCCCTCCACTTTTTTTTTGATGTTTTGGATCCCTATATTTTTATTTTTTGATATTTTATGTTCATCCAAGGTCCTACACTTTGATCATTTTATTCATTTAGGGACCTAGAACATCAAAAAATAAAAGTATAAGGACCCAAAACATCAATAAAAAGTGTAAGAATTTATAACAAAAAATGAATAAAGTGCAGGAACCAAAATGTATGTTTTTCAATTTTGTTAATAATCATGTTGAATAATTTTAAATTTTTAATAAACAATAATAACTTTTATAATATGAGATAATTATAAGAGTCTCATATGTGATTAATCTAATTAACCTCTAATCGTTCTCTACCTTATAGCAAGGTGAATTGGAATAATTTTTCATATTCTTCTAAATAATAATTAGTTATAAAAATCTTATTAGTAACTTTTTTTTATATAATAATGAAAACCTAAATACACTAGGCAAAATCACATGTAATCTTTGTCCAAAACTCATTAGAGTCCAGCAAAAGAAGTTAACACCATCTGCATATCAAGCTAAGCATCAATTGCACAATATATCAAGTAGCCTACAATATTATTTGCATCTTGTGACATTTATACAACTTTAACATTCCAATTTCATTTATGTATTTGTATGTAAATAATAATTTATGTATAACTTAACCTGATTATAATTAAAAGTAATAACCCACCAAGATTTTAATTTATCATATTAAAATAATAACTTAATAACTTAATTCTTAAAAAATATGAGCTATATATATCTTAAAAAATATTATGAATTATACAAATTAAAAAATATTTAATAATTAAACTTAACACATCTTCACTATTATCCTTTTTATTTCACGATCCTATATATCATGTATTTATAATTTTTTAAATAAAATAAGAAATTTATTTTCATAAATATCTTTTGAATAATTTTATTTAATTTTAAAATTTTAAAATAATTCATAAATTTTTTTAATAATTTAAATGATAATTTTATAAATTATTTTATATAATTTAAAATTATATTTAATTTTTTAAAAATACTTTTAGTGGAGACAAATGTTGTTACTAAAAGTAATCATACAAATTATTTTTTATAAAAATACTTTTGGAGGCCACCACCAAAAATCCACTTCTAGTGTGGAATTGAGAATGAAGTTTTTATTCTGCACATGCCAGATCATGAATTAGTAACTGCATCTAATCTCCAAAAAAATCTCAATTGTTTTATTTTTTTTAGAATGGAATATTCACAAAACCCCTATGAATAAGACCAAACATTATTCCATGGTATTTACATAGGATTTCTCTTTTTTATTCTTAAGCAAGTCCCTGAGAGGGCTTACTTGATCCATGATTAGTGTTTAGTCTTTCATTTATTTTTGGTCACGACATATTGTTGTCGCCAGAAGTGGACTTTAGCAACAAATTTGATTTGTCGCTCCTAAAAGTTCACTTTTAGCAACGACCACTAAAAGTTATTTTTTTGTATTATATGTAATTATCATTAGCCATAGAGATATTAAGATGAATTATGCATTTATCCTTTGATTAATGTTATTTCAGGTTTTTTATGACCGTATTGTGTTTGAAATGTATGTATATGTATTTATTTGGCCAATTATGTGTATTATGGTTCAGGTGAGTTGGTTTAAGTAGTCTTTAGGCTATTAGCATTTGATTTTGGTTTTAGACACCTTTGTATATTTTTTGAAGTGAAAATATGACTTTATACACCTTGAGTGTTGTGTTAATAGTTAGATGGCTTGATTAGCTATGTGTGAACATTTGAATTGCTTGAATCGAATGTCAAATGGCAATATGATGCACTTCAAAAGTTGGACCGGAGAGCTATCATGATAGCATCACACGCCACATCGTAAGGCATGTGCACCAAGGTGTATGGTACAATGTGAGGGATTCTCCCTTTGTGCCATCTACTACAATGAGTGATACATGTTATGGCTAATGGAGCAAGTTAGGCCGAATGCCCAAATTGTCTATAATTGATACCTATTTGTCGTTCTTCTTTTTCCATGCTTTTATACCTTCCATAATGATATTTTAAATACATGTTTAAGCTCAAACACATTTTAAAAAGGATTTTCTAGAATCCTAATTTTCTATTTAATTTTGTACTTAATCTTTTTCTATTATGGTGGTTTAATAT